TCTTATGGATCGAAGTCTTGAGTCCGAGCAGGAAACTGGGTACAAGTATTAAAATTGCACAAATGACCTACATTACCTGAAAGAGCAAATCAAAATCAATTAAAAAGCAAAGTTTGGTGGAAATCGAGTCAATATTTCAAAAATTATAGCCATTCAAAAACTCTCTTATTCAAATGTACATCTTTACATTCCTTTGTAAATTTTAACATTTTTGAACAGCTTCAAATTTTTAGATAGTCATATGAACTAAACTAAACTTGTGGATTTTTTTTTATTTTATTTTGATGTGCTCATCAAGATGATATGAATAACTTGGCGATTTTTGAAATTTAAAATCTCGAACMCAGCCTCCTGCTCGGACATTAAAGCTGGCAATTCACTCTCAATTTATCTACCATTGATATAAGTCTCACAAGATTCGTTGAAACTCTCCTGGTCTATTTTAAGCTTTTTCTTATTATTTGTTATATTTGCCTTGGCAGGTACATTTTCTTATCACATTGCACTGGAAAAAATCGCGCGCTTAAAAGGTTGTAAATTTGATGTAAATATAATGTAAGTGTCCAAAATTCTGTAAATTTAATGAAAATCATTTACATCAAATTTGCAGAATTTTGGACACTTACATCATATTTACATCAAATTTACAACCTTTAAAGCGCGCGATTTTTTTTCCAGTGTTGTGGTTGATAATAAATTAATAAATTTGTTGACTTGTTCGATTTCTTTGCATATTGCATTTTCAGTTTCATCTTGAAAAAACAAATCAGTTATTCGTAAAAGAGAAACTTTGACTGAACCCCAATCTTTAAGATAATTGATTAATCTCAAGTAAGAACAAGGAAGACTTAAACATAGACAAGCAGAATATTTTGGATTAGTCCCCTGTGCTTGGAGATTTCATATCGTGCACAATTGATGCCTTCCAAGTAAGAAGCACTTTTTGTACCACTGCAGAACAAGAGTTTATGTTGTTACTAATCTTCAACCTTTGAATTTTACAAAAATTCTTGTTGTCTATTAAAAAAATATCAAGAAAAATCTGTCACAGCACTTATGATGAAAACCGGAAAAAGTTATTTACACTTTGGATTAAGATGACGTCATACTTATGATAAATAATTCATAGTTCCCGGAATTGGTCACACAAAATTTCCAGATGTGATTAAACTCCTTCGACTCGCTTCAAACTATAATTCTTTTTAGCTGTCTTATTCTTGAAAGTGGATACCATCTATCGGTACAATGAGTGGTTTGCGACCTCATAATGATAAAGACGACGGTCAAGGGGAGCAGCTACAGCACGGATTTCAGATCGGAATAACAAGAGAGGTTAAATTAGTTCATCGCGTCTCTGCACAGCAGTGCGAAGAAGATATTGAAGACCTTAAGAAGCAACTCATCGACAAAAACAAAGAGATCGGAGATTTGAGAAAGCGTGTGAAAGAGCTTGAGACAAAGAACAGTGATCTTGAATTCCAACTCAAAAACAAGTGTAGTGAAGTGAACAACCTGAACAAGAGAATTCGCAAGCTTGAAGAAGAGAAGAAAAGTATCGAACAAGAGTTAGAGTCAGTGAAGGTAAACTTAGCGTCCGTGAACCTTAACTTGAAGACCGTTAAGGAAACAGTTGCCGAGCTCTCTGATTCAAGAGAAGTCCAGGAACGAAAGAACCTCGAGCTGGAAAGAAAGAACTTCGAGCTGGAAAGAGAGATGAAAGACGTGAGCAATTCTCTTGAAAATGTTGAAGAAGAAAACAAGCAATTAAAAGCTGAAATTCAGCAAGTTCGAAGGCACCAACGCTACGTCGAAGGCGCACCATTACGTTTACCAGTACCCGCTGATGAACAAAATTTCGCGATGATGGTCCTCGCTCAAATGGCGTGCTGTATTTTAAGTGCGATGTACAAGGTAGTATTGCCAGATTACTACACACCTGTGATCAACTACACTGTTGCCATGATTGACGAAGACATCCAAAATTTGCCTAAAACCGAGGAAGAGMGATGTRAAGCCATCAARCGGTTKGAAAAGTTGAAGRAAAGTTTGAACTGGACTGAAGAMAAGGCAAAGATCCTCCAAATACTTCAAGAAAGTCGCAACTCCATAGATTGGAATTCTCAAAACCTTGAAGAGAAGGTGATTCAAGATTGCACGAAGTACTTGCATCAGGAGAATATTCTGAAGGGCTGGTTGAATATTGATCACATCACTGGACTTATCGAAGTGTGGAAAAGACTCAACTCTTCTACAACCTTGGTCACAAAAAACTAAGCTGTTATAAACACCATTTGCAGGCATGTTTCTACTTAATTTGTAATACTTTGGACGGTGACTAATTTAAAAAATGGCTGATCACAAGCAATATTTTGTGAACGATAAAGTAAACGTTTTCATAACGATTTTTTTTATTTTTTTTTATTGCTCTATATGACGATTTTACTTGTGCAATATGCATTCAAGAATCTAGCGAAATCATCAAAAATTGCATGCCTGACACTAAACAATATCAAATTCCTTAATTTAAAGTAGTTCTGATCATTAGCTTTGAGTTCAACTCTGCTTTTCCTGTTCACTAGGAGCTCTTTTTTACAAATCTTATTTCTGACAAGAATTCTTTGATTTTGAGAGTTGATGGTTTTGTAATCGTTATTTTGTGCGCTTTAAGTGCTATAGAAATATTGAATATATTTAAAGATATTCCCCGAACCGAAATTCCCAGAACTGACATACGTTTGTGGTCACGTCACGTGGTCATGTGATTTGGGCCAGGCATTGTTTTATCTGCGACCGCAAT